ATATATATATATATATATATATATATATATGACCTTTAACTTGACTTCAAATTATAACTTTGACCTTTAATTTGACAGTGCACAAAGAGGCACTTTAACTATCCAACTCTTAAACAAAAAAAAATTGAATGTTGCATCCAAAAAACGTGATATACAGACGCTCTAACGTGGATTAGTGAGTCACTCAATGACTACAAACTAATTAAAAAATTTACACGTAGATTTCAGAATATATTTTTAAAAAACCTAAGTTAATATGCCACTAATATACTGGGGTTACGGTGAAAGACTCCCCGATTTCACCCAGTTCTCTCTCAAAATCGCGAAACCCTAGCAAAATTTCTTTGTGAATCAAAGGAAATATTATTCAAGATTCGTGTTAAAAGTTGGTATACTTGGATGTTTATCTGTTCATCTTCCTCAATTTAGTCTAGATATATCTAATTTTGTCGTTTTGAATGTTTATTTTTGATAGAATGTAGAATCTTTTTGTCACCATGACTGTAAATTCTTTCCGTTTACAGCTTTAATCATATGGATTGTTTGCAGAGCAAGAAATCTTTATTAGAGCTCTTTCTTCCATAATGACAAAATAATAAGGAGTCATTCGCATTAAAAACAAGTAGAAATCGTGCTAAAGAGAGAAAAAAAGAAGCTTCACTACTAGAATTAGAAAGAATTGGAAAAAAATGGGATTTTGATTTGAAAATATAAAGGTATATAGAGAAAGGATTCATTAAGGGTATAATTGTTATTTCAACATGTTTTTTACCGTTGTGGGCCTCGAAATTTACTTTTGACGCGTGCGGATTGAGTGCATATCACGCATTTTGTCAGGTAGGATTCGAGTGTTTTATTGTTTAAGAATTGAATAGTTAAAGTGCCTCTTTGTGCACTGTAAAAGTTAAAGGGCAAAGTTATAATTTAAAGCCAAAATAAGAGTTCTATTTATGTATTATGCCTATATTTATTAAATCAAATTTTGACATTTATATACAATGTAATTTTTAGAGAAGCGGTGTCAAGAGTAAGGGTGGATCTGCCCCTGGACTAGTAACGATATTTTTTATTATTATTATATTATTTGTTGATCACGTACACTTGCGTGAGCAATGAATCCGACCACCCCAATAAGAAAATACAGGCAACACACGATCGTTTCAAGTCAACAATAGATAACAAATTCTATTCATTGCTTTCTCTATAATCTTGTCAAATAAAAAAAAAAAAGAGTTGACTTTCAATATTACACAATAAGGCTACCTTCGTAAATATTTTCATGATTGTGGGGACACAATTTGAAATTCAGGTAGTTTTTCAAGCTTAAAAATATTTTAGGTCACAATCTAACTTTAACTTATTATAGTTGGTTAGTGGGAGCTTACATTGTTTAAAGTAGAAGATTGCTGGCTTAGTCTGTGAACAGTTAAGATTCGAAGCAGAAATGATGAACCGACTCCATTACAATGGAGCTTTCCAGAGAGAGAAATAAGAAACGATTTTATTATCAGAGTGAGAAGAAAAAATGAATTGTTCTTACAAAATATCTGGCCCATGCCTATATATACATTTGTGTGAGGCCCAACTACCTATTACTGAAAATACATCATAAATATCGGGTCAGGCCCAATACAAGTATGGAGAAATAATATCAGGATCCACTAACTCCAACACCCCCTCGCAAGTTGGAGGGTGACAGAACACCCAACTTGTGAAGATGCACATGATGAGTAGCACCAGGTAGACATTTGGTGAACATGTCGGCCAATTGAGAAGCACTGGCAGTATGAGACAGGCTGATCAACCCATCAGAAAGCTTGGTGCGGACGAAATGGCAATCCAACTCGATATGTTTGGTACGCTCGTGGAAAACAGGATTCTTGGCAATATGGATAGCAGCCTGGTTATCACAAAATAGAGGAACAGAGGTGAAAATAGGCAGCCCAAGGTCAGATAACAGACGAGTGACCCAAGTTATTTCAGCAACAGCTTTGCTCATAGCCCTGTATTCGGCCTCAGCAGAAGAAAGGGACACAACAGCCTGTTTTTTTTAGACTTCCAACCAATCAAGCTACCGCCCAAAAGTACACAGAACCCAGTCACAGAGCGACGACTGTCAGCACAAGCCCCCCAATCACTATCGCAATAAACAGCAAGGGAAAGGTCAGGATTAGAGGAGAAGAAGACACCAAACTCAGAAGTTCCCTTGAGGTAACGAAGGAGATGCAAGGCAGCACGCATATGAGGCACACATGGTCGCTGCATAAACTGACTGAGGTGTTGAACAGCAAAGCAGATGTCAGGCCGCGTATGAGTTAAAAAATTCAACTTGCCAATCAAACACCGATACTCCTCGGGGTGAGGAAGAGGGTCCCCAACATCAGCGTGTAGCTTGGTATTTATCTCGAGAGGACAAACCACTGGTGAACAAGTAAGACTGTTAAAGGAAGTCAGGAGATCATGAACAAATTTTTTCTGATGCAGCAGAACCCCAGAGGGAGTGTACAAGACTTCAATCCCGAGAAAATAATTGAGAGACCCCAAGTCTTTGATCCTGAACTCAGCATGGAGGAAAGATTTGAGACAGGAGAGCTCAACTAGATCAGACCCAGTAAGGATGATATCATCCACATAAATGGCAAGCAGGGCCAAAGAATCACCAGAACCCTTATGAAAAAGGGAATAATCATTGAGGGAATGGGTATAACCTCTAGAACATAACGCCTGAGACAATTTGGCATACCATTGCCTAGAAGCCTGCCGTAAACCATAAAGTGACTTCCGTAACTTGCAAGCTAAAGGAACAGAAGAAGAGGAAGAAACAGTCAAACCAGGAGGAATGCGCATAAAGACTTCCTCATCAAGATCCCCATGTAGGAAGGCATTATTGACGTCAAGTTGAAACATAGGCCACTGTTTCTTGACAGCCACAGCAACCAAGGTCTTGACAGTGGACATCTTGACAACAGGGGAAAATGTCTCATGAAAGTCGATGCCCTCAACTTGAGTGTCACCCCGGACTACCAAGCGAGCCTTGTATCTTTCCACACTCCCATCAGCTTTATACTTGATCTTATAGACCCATTTGCACCCTATAGGCTTCTTGCCAGGAGGTAAGGGAACAATATCCCAAGTACCATTAGCAGCCAATGCATCAAATTCTAACTGCATGGCATCCTGCCATTTAGGCACAAGAGCAGCCTGAGAATAAGAATTGGGTTCAACAACAGGATGCTCTCCAGAAGTAAGGGAACTGGAGACGTGAGCAGAAGTACGAGAGAGATAAGGAGGAAGGGAATAGGCACTGAGATATTTGGGCAAAGAATGAGGACGAGAAGATTTTCTCGAAGGAGGCAGTGGAGGATCAGGATGATCAGAAAGTAAATCACTAGCAGAAGGGTTAGTAGGTGGAGGAGGATCGACAATAGTAAGGTCATCAAAATAAGAGGAGGAAGGAAAAGGGGATGGAGAAGAAGGAACAGTGCTGGAAGTAGAAAAGGGGAAGATATGTTCATGGAACACAACATCCCTAGAAACAAAAGAAGTTTTGGAAGAAAGATTATATAGTCTATACCCTTTCTTTCCAAATGGATATCCTAAGAAAATGCAAGGGGCAGCTCTAGGTTGAAACTTGTCGCGATTGGACTTAGAGACAGTTGAGTAACAGAGGCACCCAAAAGCGCGAAGATGAGAGTAGGTGGGGGGTTTGGAGTAGAGGATCTCATAGGGACTTTTCTTATGTAATAAAGAAGAAGGGAATCTGTTGATAAGGTACGTAGCAGTGAGTATGCAATCCCCCCAAAAGTGAATGGGAAGAGAAGACTGGAAAAGAAGAGCCCTGGCAGTTTCAAGCAAATGTCGATGTTTTCTCTCCACAACTCCATTTTGTTGCGGAGTGTGAGGGCATGTGGTTTGATGAATGATACCCTTGTGGGAAAAAAAATCAATACCAGCAGAACTGGAACCTAACTCAAAAGCATTATCACTCCTGACAGTGAGGACCTTGGAGCTAAATTGGGTTTCAACCATGTTGATAAAAGCTTTCAAAAGATCGAAAGCATTGCTCTTGGCACCCATTAAATGTGTCCAGGTGGCTCTAGAAAAGTCATCGACAATCGTCAAAAAATATCTAGAGCCATTGTGAGTAGGAGAATGATAGGGTCCCCAAGTATCCAGGTGGATCAACTGGAAAGAGGAAGTGGATTGAATAGAGCTGTCAGGGAAAGGTAGCCTAGTTTGTCGAGCTAAGGGACAAACAGGGCAAGGAAATGATTGTTTAGAAGATAAAATATGTTGAAGTGCTGAAATATCTTTCATACGAGAAAAAGGAATGTGACCAAGTCTATAATGCCAAACAATATCCATTTTATTGACTTTATGCAACTTGTCAGAAGCAACATCAGTTACATTGGCAGAAGTGCCAAGGGAAACGGATACATCAGAATCAATAGTAGAACTACAGGGAATAGAGGGACAAACAACATAAGAAGTATGCGCAGAAGAAGTTGTGGGAGGAAGCAACAGCTTGTAGAGGCCATTATCCACCTTACCAAGAACCAGAGGCATCTTCTGAGAAGGGGCCTGTAAAGCACACAAAGTTTTGGTAAAGTAAACAACTCCATCTAGCTGATCAACAAGCTTGTGAACAGATATAAGATTGTACTGGAAGGAAGGGATGTAAAGCACATTGTGCAAAGTAATGTGAGGAAACAGAGTCAAGGAACCTGTATTGGTGACCTTAACTTTATAACCATTAGGAAGGGAAACAAGTACAGGGATAGGTAAAGTTTGAAGGTTGAAAAGTAAGTCCTTGTGGGAAGTTATATGATCAGAAGCTCCGGAGTCTATGATCCAGAGGAAACTATCTACCTGAGAGAGCATACATGATTTGTACAGAACACTTTCAGATATCAGCTTACCAGCAAAATTGGTAGACGCCATGAGACATGAAGGACTGGATGTAGTAGGAGAAATGTGAGTCTGTTTCAGCAGCAGTAACAATTGAGAATGTTGATCAGAGGTTAATCCATAAAGACCACCATCAGTAGCTTCTGAAGACAAAGGGGAGGCAGAAAGAGGCTCAACTTCAACATGAGCTGCAGTCTTCCGAGATCCTAGATTTTTTGTGAACTTGAAACCAGGTGGAAAACCATGTAACTTGTAGCACTTGTCAATTGTATGCCCTGGTTTCTTGCAATATTTGCAGAGGATGGAGGACTTACTAGATTCAAAATTTACCCGGGAGGAATATGACGGTTGTTGCGTAACTCCAACATTGAAGGACGTGGAGCTGGAAGGAAAGTGAGAAGGAGCAGAGACAGTTCTCTGTTTTTCATCATTAAGAAGCAGCCCATATGCAACTCCAACCGAAGGAGTGGGTTTCAACAGAAGGATGTGACTCCTAACCTGAACATAAGTGTCATTCAGCCCCATGAGGAACTGATAGAGCTTCTGCTCATCTTCATCTTCCTGATAAAGTCCTTTGGCACCACAATTACAAATCCTAGCTCGTCTGACAGAAATGGAGGCAATCTCATCCCAGAGCTGCTTAATTTTGTTGAAATATGATGGAATGTCAAGAGATCCTTGAGAAATATGAGATAGTTCCTTTTTCAACTCAAAAATTCTAGCACCATCAGCTTTTCCATATCGTTCCTCAAGTTCACTCCAGACGTCACTAGCAAGTTCAGAATACTCAACACTACGCCCAATCTCTTTAGATAAAGAATGAAGAAGCCATGAAAGGACAAGATCATTGCACCTCTGCCATTGCCTAGCTAATGGTGAGTCAGAGGAGGGGCGCAAGGAAGTTCCATCGATAAACTCGAGTTTGTTGCGGACGGATAGGGTGACAAGGATAGTGCGTCTCCAACTAGCATAACAAGTTCCATCGAAGGGGACAGATACCAAAGAACCTCCTAAGATATCAGAAGGATGGACATAAAGAGGATGACAAGGATGTGTGTAATCATCTTTGTGAAACTCAGTTCTGGATGGCAAAGAAGAAGCACTACCAGTAGACGAAGAAACCGTTGATGTCTCAGTTCCAGTCATCGAAAGATAATCACGAACACAAAAAAAACGAGATGAATAACCAAACGAAGGAGAGTAGAACGAAAATACCAGACTCTTTCACTACCAGAAAGAGAACAACCTTTGCACAGAGAGATTCCAAACACGAACTAGTTGGAACCCTAGAAAATCCTTGATTCGATTCCGAGACTTGTAAAATCCAAACGAAAACGGCAAGGGTAGAATCGATCGAGAGTAAGGAGCTAGAACTAGAAGGATCTATGCTCTGATACCATGTGAACAGTTAAGATTCGAAGCAGAAATGATGAACCGACTCCATTACAATGGAGCTTTCCAGAGAGAGAAATAAGAAACGATTTTATTATCAGAGTGAGAAGAAAAAATGAATTGTTCTTACAAAATATCTGGCCCATGCCTATATATACATTTGTGTGAGGCCCAACTACCTATTACTGAAAATACATCATAAATATCGGGTCAGGCCCAATACAAGTATGGAGAAATAATATCAGGATCCACTAACTCCAACATAGTCCTTATTATAAAGTTTCTTACAATTATAAAATTAAGTTGGTAGCTAAATCTTATCATCAAGAAAAAGACTATTAACATTGTTTATGCATAACCTCAAGTAAAAACAATAGTTATCCACTAAAATTCAAGCCCTTTGTCAGTTCGATTCGTTATACTCTTGTAACTTGTTCAATACAAACATTTATGTTCAAGCATTTTTCCCATTCAATTTACCAATGATAATTATGCCTTCCGATGTATGTTGCATAGCTCTCTTCATTGCCTTCTTTCTGATTCCATTTGTGAATTCAGTGTCCTTTCAAATATCTCGATTTGGACCGGACGTGACTGACATACTCTATGAAGGAGATGCAGTCGCGTCTGTAGGAGAGATCGAGTTTAACAAAGCGAACTATCTATGTCGCGTTGCTCATGCCATCTATAGAGAGAAAGTTCCACTTTGGGATCCTGATCATGACTCCACAAAGCTAGCTGATTTCTCCACACGTTTTTCGTTCACTATAGATACTCAAAATCGTTCCTCATATGGTCATGGTATCGCGTTTTTCCTAGCTCCAGTTGGTTTTCGAATTCCACCTAACTCAGATGGTGGTTTTCTTGGACTGTTCAATACAAGCACTAGTGATTCAGCTCAAAGCCAAATTGTTTCTGTTGAGTTTGACTCATTTTCCAACGTCGAATGGGATCCTCCATTCGAGCACGTTGGTATCAATAACAATTCAATTGCTTCATCTGTGACAACTCCTTGGAATGTTAGTTTACATAGTGGTGATCCTATTGAGACATGGATTACTTACAATGCTACAACAAATAATCTTAGTGTCATTTGGAACTATGGAACAGGCCCGAATTCGAGCATGTTTTACATAATAAACCTCAGAGATGTTCTGCCTCCATGGGTCACAATCGGATTCTCTGCTGCAACAGGACAAAATGTCGAGAGACATACACTTGAATCATGGGAATTCAGCTCGAGTCTTGATATAACAGAGTTAGGTGGAAATGACCGTGAAAAGATTGGACTGATTGCAGGGCTAACAACATTAGGTGGGATTTTGTTTGTGAGCGCGATTTTGGCTTTGGTAGTTTTGAGAAAATGTAGACGAAAGGTGAAGGGAAATCCAGAGACAATAAGCTTAACATCATTCAATGATGATCTTGAAAAGGGGGCAGGGCCAAGAAAGTTTTCGTATAAAGAGTTAGATACTTCAACTAATCATTTCTCAGAGGAACGAAAATTAGGCGAAGGGGGATTTGGAGAAGTTTACAAAGGGTACCTTATCGATCTTGACATAGCGGTTGCTGTAAAGAAGATCTCGAGAGGGTCTAAGCAGGGGAAAAAGGAATACATAACCGAGGTGAAGGTTATTAGTCGATTAAGGCATAGAAATCTTGTGCAACTAATCGGTTGGTGTCATGATCAAGGTGAGTTCTTACTTGTTTACGAATTCATGCCAAATGGTAGCTTAGATTTTCATTTGTTTGGTAAGAAGAATCCTCTTAGTTGGACTATGAGGTACAAGATTTCACTTGGTTTAGCATCCGCGTTGCTCTATCTACACGAAGAATGGGAACAATGTGTGATCCACAGAGACATAAAATCGAGCAACATAATGCTAGATTCAAGTTTTAATGTCAAGCTTGGTGATTTTGGCCTAGCTAGACTAATGGACCATGAATTAGGTCCTCAGACTACAGGGCTAGCCGGAACTTTAGGTTATTTGGCTCCGGAATACATAAAAACAGGACGAGCAAGCAAAGAGTCGGATGTATACAGCTTCGGAATAGTTGCATTAGAAATTGCAACAGGAAGAAAATCAGTTGATCCAGGGACAGGGAAATGTGATGCAGGATTAGTAGAGTATGTTTGGGATTTTTATGAAAAAGGGAAACTTCTTTCTGTTGTTGATGAGAAATTAAACATGGATTTCGAACAAGAACAAGTAGAACGATTGATGATTATCGCGTTGTGGTGTGCTCATCCAGAGAGCAATCTAAGGCCATCGATAAAACAAGCAATTCATGTTCTGAATTTCGAGGCATCGTTGCCTAATCTTCCAATGAAGATGCCTGTTCCTGTGTACTATTCACCTAGACCATGTGGCGAACCAACAGTTAGCTCGGGGGAGCCTACGATGACTTACACAAGCATCGATGTGGGTCGATAACTATTGAGTTACTTGAAATGAGCTTAAATGGAGCGATATGATTAATAATGACTTCAATTTGCTTGAGATTGTGGTGTAGTAATAGTTATTGTTGTTGTAGTAGTATTTGTACAATACACGGGCTTGTAAATCTTGTGGATCTTATATATGTGAAATAAACAAGTACATGTAGAGTTAAAAGATACGTTCGACAAGCAACTATTTTAGCTCGGAATTCATAAAATTGAAATTCCCGATTCCTCACTATAAATCATATAAAGATTGGAGTAGTTTCAAATGTTTACAATAAAGTAATTACTTTACAATAAATAGAGTCATGTTTTATTTACATAAAAAGTAGCCAAAAAATGTAGGAAGTATACACTAATTGTACAATATAACTTGTCAAATGTCATAGAAAGTATACATTGACTATACAATATGACTTATTTATACATGAGCTAATGAGCTATATATTATGATACACTCAAAAAGATAAATATAGTTAATTATACATGAAATATACACTGAGTGTACATGAAGTATACACTGATTATTCAATCTTGATTAACTCAAAATCACCTCTAAATAGTCCCAAATTTTAGATATGAAATCATCTCAATGTTTCGAATCTTTTGATATATAATTCGCACAAAACGATTTACATTTGCGGTATGTCGAATTTTTTTTTTTAAAGAAGAAGAAGCAACCGTGGTTATAAAAATATATATACTTAATGATTAAGATCTGAGTTGATTAAGATTCATTACTTAATAAATAAATAAAGTCAATCTAAATATTTAAGATTAAGACCTTTATTAAGTGCAAACACATGAGAGCCTTGTTGTGCTTGGTTCAAAATTTTCTTTGACATATATGTTATTCGGGTTGACATAAGAAAAAATAATACTCAATTTAAGGTGATCCTTTACAAGACAGTTCCATTTCATGTTCTTTAAACCTTAGGTCCGTAAGAAATTCTTCGAGACTGCTTTATCCTAAATTCTAACTCACATCTTTAAAAGATGTACATATTCTATTGAGGATATATCTTGAATATCATATAATCTCTTAAGTATTCGTAAAAAGATCAACATAACATATACAATGTTGTTTTTAAAAAATCAAAGCAATCAAAATGCAATCTTCCTCAAGATCAACTTGAAATAGCGAGGTGTTGTCCAATGTTCGTGGCTATCAAATATAGCATAAAGAGGTCGAAATCATCCTACATTTGAGTAAATGTGCTACTAACGACTCACAAATCACAAAGAAAAATATAAGAGATACACATGCTATTTTTTCTCAAAGCCGAAGCGATCTTCCTCAAGATCAACTTGTAATAGTGAAGTGTTGTCTGACGAAAATCAAATACATCTTTAAGAGGTCAAAATCATCTTATATAAAAAAAAAATGCTACTAACAACTCTTGAATCACGAAGAAAATTTAAAAAGAAAGAATAAAAAAAATACACAAAATTGCAAAATCACTAAACGCTAGAAGGAGGGCTTGAACCTCCGACCTTGTGGTTAACAGCCACACGCTCTAACCAACTGAGCTATTCCAGCTTGATGATAACTTTTGTACGTTATAATTTATATTATTAGTGGTAAGTTCAATTATATAAATCTTTTTCTATAAATCAATAAATAAATATATGCATAGTAAATTCTAAGTATCAATTGTCTTTGCCTTTTTAATATTTTTAAATTTACTTAATGTAAAATAACCTATAAAATATGTTTTCTTCATCTATTTTAGTTTGAAAATGTTTAACTTCGCTTTATAACTATCTTTCATATAATTATATTTGAGTGATTTATTAACGTAGTTGAATGAAAGCAATAAATGGACGAATCAGTGACTCGCTCAAACTTAAATGGGTCGGACAGATTTAATTTTATCATTTTTAATCATATTTTTTTACGAATAAGATCTTCAAATATTACAAGCTAACTCAACAACTAATATATTTTTATATTTTCTACGAACATGAAATTTCTTAAAGACTAAAAATACTTTAAGCAAATATCTACGTACTCTATAATCCAAGCATACTAACTTGATTTATAACCATAACACGAATGGCTTATCTATTAATTTCAATATAAGATATATGTACTTAGCTATTCAATTTTATACAATTGAAATATAATATTAATTAAGGTTTAATTAAATAATATATTTATATATTGTGTCGTAAATACTATTTATTTTGTTCCAGTTTATATGATTTTTTTTTCCAGTCAATCTAAAAAAGAATGGCACATTTTTATATTACAATTTAACTATAAATATCTCATTTTACCCTTAATGTAATGATTTATAGTCACACAAATATCTATTACTAATTTCATACCACAAATTTTAAAAGTTTTCCTTTTTTTTAAGAAAAAACTTTATGGTGAGTTAAACTAACTTATATAAAATAAGACGAGAGACTCAGAGACAGAGCTAGGTGGGGGTTCGTGGGTTCGGACGAACTCACTAGCTTTTTGTAGGCCATGTATTTGTATTAGAAAATTAAATAAATATATATGTATATTTACATGTGAACTTCTAACAAAATTGAATAACAGCTTGGTGGTAAGAAAAGGGCGGTGGAAATGTCGTTCAAACTTCACCAGCAACAAAAAAATCTTCTTTTTTTAACAGAAACATGTTTTGTAATATTTTTCTATTCTATCCTAAAATTTAGAACTCTCAAACTCCTAATTTTGACTCCCGCACCAGGTTATTACTCGACGTAAATCTTACTTTGACAAAGTTAAAGTAGGGTCTACTTCAGTCAAATGGGTGCAGGAAACGCGGCTAATGTTTTT